AATGTCAGTTTCCTCCCGGCTCATTCTGGCCTTAGGAACAGTGTCCTCATGGCTGTTCTCGCTTCCGCCTGCTGCTGGTCACAAGGGCAACACCTCCTGTTTTAGGCTTTAATGATGGCGACATTCTACTTCCCCAAACCAGTTTCTTATTTTACCATGCATTGCATTGCTGCTTCACAAAGCAGCTCCAAATCTCGGCGCTTCCGGTTAACAAGGGCTGCTAGTTCCTCAGATCTTTAGGGTTCCGCTGGGTGGTTGGTCTCTGGTTTGGTACAGTGTTCTGCTTTCAGCTGTGTCAGATCTGGACGCAGCTGTAGGGTTTCCGGGTGTCTTTTATCATGCGGTCTCTCACTTGGGATGCTAGCTGCAGCTTCTTACATGCAGTTGAATTTTAAGAGAGTCAGAGTGGAAACTGCAAGATTCCTTATGACCCAAGGGCTGGAATGTCCACAGTGGCACGCTCCACTGTCCAAAGTAAGGTCAAGCAGTGGCTGAGGAACAGCCCTGCTTCACAAGTGGGGACAACATCAAACCCACCTTATAGAGGAGGAGCTTGGAGGGGCTAGACAGGGAGCCTTAAAGACCTTTCGATAAATGGAATGCCAGTGTAAGATGTCTGTTGATCGTCCACATAGAGGTGCCAGAGCGACAGCTGGTCACGAGGAGAGTGAGGTTCTTGTTTCCGTCCCAGGGCTGTGCAGGCTGCACGGCAGTGCGGAGTGCTGTCCCTGTGCCACTCAGCTGGAGGAAGCGGGAGAAGGCGGAAGTCCATTTCTGCATCAGCACGTGGGTCCCTCAAGTCCTTTCTGCCTGCTTCCCACCTCCACAAATCCTCAGCCTAGCCCAGGACAGGAAGCCCGTCCACTATGGGTCTTGCCACTTAGGGAGGAGACTATTTTTAATTGTGTGTACTGGCTTGCATGGATATGTGCACACGAGTGCAGGTGCCTACAGAGCTCTAGTTATAGGTGGTTGGAACCGCCTGGATGTGGGCGCCGGGAACTGAACTCAGGTCCTCTGCAGGAGTCATCTCTCCAGCACCTAGGAGAAAGGGACTGAATGCTCTCCTGTTTTGATAGCTCGAAGAGTGAGACTGAGTATAGGAATTCTGAAAGGAGTGATTTCTGAGTTCTTCCAAAGCAGCAGGGAGGATGGGGAGTGAGGAGGGGGACCAGGAGTCACCACTGAGGTCATGATGCTGACCCAGCTTGCAGGGCTACTTTCTGAGTTACTCTTCTTCAGAAAGTTGCTTCTACCCAGTGTCTGAAGCTGCACCACCGACCTCTGTGCTGACAGCTGGGAGAAGCCAGGAGTCGAATTCCCTCGTCCAGGCATGACTTGAATATGCCAAGCTGGGGATCTAAATTTCTCAACCGTCCCCCGACCTTAATGCTCCTCTCACACCGGTTAACTTGCTAAGGTCCCATTTTGAACTGGTCCCTGCTAACTTTTGCATTCTCCTCATCCTTGCTTCAACCAGAGGGTCATGTTGGGTTAGGGCTGAGGCCGGTGCCCAACTTCCTGACCCCATCCCTCATTTCCCAAGCAGAACTGGACTGCACTAATTGACCTGGAGGGTCTCAGCTGTGCTAAGTTGGGTTCGTTAGCTCTCGTTAGGCTGATAATTAGTGCGGGAATCTAGGTCAGGGGCAACCAGTTGGAGTGATGGTCTCCTGGGGTGTGAATAACGGTTGGGAAGAGCAAACATTCCTTCATTCCTCTCTCTCTCTCTCTCTCTCTCTCTCTCTCTCTCTTCTTGGGGGTGGGGTGAACCAGGGACAGGGGACAGTGGGACTCATGGTATTCACAGAGAAGAACAGGGTCACGTGCAGAAAAGCGCCCCCCCTCCCGTGTGTGTGTGTGTGTGTGTGTGTGTGTGTGTGTGTGTTCGCTCCTGCTTTTACTCGGGGTTTCCTTCCAACCTCTCCATATATGGTGCGGCTCTAGAGCAGGCTGGGGATTGGCTGCTGTTGTTGGGAGCCGGGGAGGTAGGAGAAAAGCAGAAAAGAGAAACCCAGTGTAGGGAGGGAGGGAGAGAGAGCATGGTAGCCAGGCTTCAAGGGTTGCAGAAGGGCTGCTTGCCTGTGGGATGTGTTTCTAGGGAGAAGGGGGCACGGTTACTGTTGGCCGGGTACTTGGAGTGAGTGGGGAATGGGACAAGGGTTATTGCCCTAGGATCACAGCTCTAGGCTTGGGACCAGTTTGCGGGGGTTGGAGTGGGGAGGAAGGGGTCAAGAAATGTGTGCTCCACACCTCCCTTCTTTTCACCCTAGACAACTTACAGCATGCTGTGGAAATCATATGCAAATTAACTCGTTAGCTTTCCAGACCAACACCGCAGACATCCTTCCTGATGGAGGAAGCCATGGACTGCACCTTGATCGGCTCCCTCCAAGCCTCCTCAACAGTTTATGGAGAGGACAGGAAAAGCTGAGGGGTGCCATTGAACCATGACTTATGCATCTGGTTCTCCTCCAATCTACCTGTCTCCTCATCACTTTGGTTCAACTCTGTGTCCCGAATTCCCCTTCTCCCCATCCCCTGGCCTCCAGAGGAGTTTTCCTATCCAGTTCGCTTGGGTAAGAAGACAGAAAAGCCAGGCTGTTGGGAAGGAGGGTGAACATGAAAATGTCTGTCAGCAGCTTTGCCACAGAAAGCCACCCTAGGCGACCACAGAGCTTCTCTTCTCCACACATGGAGACTGGAGGAAGGAAGAGAGATAATGCAGAGGAATGGAGTAGGGAAAGGGGCCAGGAGGGAGGCCAGAACAGCATGCTGGGATCCTGACATGGTGGCTAGGTTCAAAACATCTTTACAGGAGCAGAGATCTCGCCGGCAGCCACCTACCACAAGCGTAGAATTTAGCTTTTCTAGCGTGGAACGTGGCTTTGTGTTAAGCTCTGAAATGGTTGCAGACCAGGGATCACGCTCTTCCCTCCTTCCAGCTGTCTTCAGCACAGTGCCTGAGGGACCTCGGGTGCCCTCCTCCCCGAGAGGGATGGGCCTGGCCTGTGGCCCATTCACGGATGTGAAGCAGAGTGGTGTGCCAGCGATGGCCTTGTGGCCTCGGCCTCGAGCACGCTGTGCTCTGGTCACCTGGTTTTGCTGTTCACTACTCACTAGTCAGTCATGGCAGCCTTGGAAGGCACGGACGGACAGACAAGCGGAGACCACTGGCTGCGCTTTACTAGCCGACCATGTGGTAGTTTGCAGGGGAGAAAATACTAATCAAGCCGTCTTACCCAGGGCAGATTAACCGAAAAGTGACAGTCAGAACTTGAACCCAGAGCCCTGTGGTTTCAAAGCCAGGCTCATTTTAGCCCTGTGGAGTGTGGGTGCTGGAACACTTGCTGGGGAGCTGGGAGCTGCTGGTTTTGGGGTGTGTGATTTCCCTCCCCTGGGTTCCACAGGTGATTGGCATGTTAGGACACACATGTCATTCTTGTTTTGCCTTTTTCTTCATTATGTGGGGGTGACGGGAGAGAAAGAGAAAACGCTGATGAAAAGATGGGAGGGCAAGCAGTGTGTAATGTTAACCCGACTTTTAGTACCTGTAGCAATGGCTGGCTCTGAAGACGGGGCTAGGGCTGTGGAAAGTGGAGACTCTGAGGGCACAGGAGGCCTGGTCCCCTTGCTTTGTCCCGAGGAGGACCTGGGTGTTCAGTAACATGGCAGTTTGTGTACTTGCCTTGGCTCTGGAGGGTTCTTGTTTCTAGATAACGATAGCCACGGAGAAGACTTGGATGGCAGTGAAAAGCAGGGGTCTAAGAAAACAAGGGCCTGTCTTCCAGCTGGCTGGGAGGATGGCTTAGTGGTAAGAGTTTTTTCTGTTCAAGGACCGGAGTTCAAATCTCCAGGACTCACATGTGCTGGAAAACCTGGAATCCCTTTCATTGAGATGGTTTAGTTGGAGGACTCCCCCAACTTGTTTACAAGGTGATAATGTCCCAACAGAACAGAGGTCAAAGGGGTTCCCCCAAAGCCACTCTCTCCCCAGTCCCCTTAGCTCATCCTACCTTGTTCTTCTCTCAAAGCTAGTGAAGCTCTGGGGCCTGGCAGCACGGAGACAGGAGGGGCAAGGACAAGGGGCACACGCCCCATCTTTAGCCCCATTGCATGCCAGATCCGAGAGACTCTGTCCTTGTCTCATGGCTCATTCAGATCTTGTGTTCCCTACTCTAGGCCTTACCATCAGTGTAAACTTAACCTTAGAGAGCCAGCTGTGGGGGCCCTGCCACAGAGCAGCCCGTGAGGAAGTCAGGGGGCGGCGGTGGTGGTGGGGGACACTGTGCTTGTCGGGAGGGTGGAGGACGGAGGAGGGCGGGTGGAAGGAACCCTTGCTTGGCAAAAGAGGAAGCTGGGCACGGTCTGGCTTCCCTTCCTTCCCACACAGCTGCCATCACAAGCCAGTTTCCTTTCAGGTTACCTCTTCCACAGGGTCAGTTGCTCCCAGTTCCTATGCTACTCCACCCCGTCAGAGGGCCAGGCTGGTCCTGGAATCTCTGGTGGAAGGAACAGGAAGCCCTCAGATAAGAGGGCTGAGGCAGCTCAGTGTTGTTTTTGTAATGCTGGAGACGGCACGAGGGCCTCACATGTGCCAGGCAAACACTACACCACTTAGCTACAGCCTCAGCCTCAGAGACCGCCCCTCCCCCATGGTGAGAAGCCAGGGTTAGCTCCACATACCCTCCTCAGACCTGGGGTACATTTCACTTCTCTTATGGCATGGACAGCTGGCACTGGCCTCTGTGTCCCTAGAACTCAAGTTGCACAGCTGAAATTTCACCCTCAGAATGAGAACCTGGAGTGGGACATCTGAGGGTGTGCATCCGCGCCTGCTCCTGACCAGGCCTGGGAGCAGGTGGCCTGTGTGCAGTGAGTGCCGTTTTTATTACTCTTTGTATGGTGAGAGCTCCTCAGGACTCAGGGCTCACCTTCTCCAATCTCACCAGAGAGCTGTCTAAGGAAGTTGGTAGGAAAAGGCCATAGCAGGTCAGGCATCAGCAAGAGCAATGAGTTTTTTTTTTTTTTTTTGATTGAGGTAAATAAAAAAAGCTTTATCCTGCAACATTTGGAGATAGTAGTCTGTGCCCCCTAAATTCCAGACCTGGCCCTCCTCCTTCACATTAGGCTCTTCCGGTATTGACTGTGCTGGGAGCTCGGTCTGAGGTGGGAGTCGGGGGTCTGCAGGTCCATCTGTCTGTACAGGTCTCTCAGCTCCCTGACTTCCTGCAGCACCCTCTTTGCCTGGCTCCAGTTGGACGACGCTTCTCCCAGCAGCCTCTCTGTCTCCAGCAGCAGCTGCTCCGACTCAGAGTCGGGTGGAGACCGTGGGGGCTCCTTGGCCTTCAGCTTGCCGTCCCCCAGTCCCTGAACCTCGGCCAGCAGCTCCTGAGTCTTCTCCAGTTTCCTTGCCACCAGGTCCTGGATGCGGGACAGCTGCCCGGGCTGGGAGGGAAGGGGGGCTGTGGATTCCTCAGCTGGAAGGTGAAGGGGGCGGGCGGGGGCAGTCTCCCTCTGAGACAGGATCTCCTCCAGGGAGGCGCAGCGGCCCTTCTCTTTAGAGGTCAACTTCTTCGGGGCTTGGGGGGTGTAGGTGGCTCCCTTGTCTGGTTTTTCCCAAGGCCGAGAAAGGCTGCTTGCCCGGTGTGAAGAGGGCTGGATCCTGTCAGAGTCTGCTCTCCGTCGACTGCCAGTCAGTTGGGCCACAGACTTGTCCAGATCCACCCGAAAGTTCTCAGCACAAGAGGCTGGCTCCTCAGGGGAAGGGTCTTCTTCTTGGATCAGGTCTAACGTCAGCATCCCATCTGAGGTAGAGGTCGATGCCTGGGAAAGAGCGTGAAAGAGGGCAGGAACTACCGTTAACACATCTGCTGTGGACGCTCTCCTCCACTCCCACCCTGAGTGGGACCCTCCCCTCCTGACTGAGCTCTCGCCGTGGCTATTTCAGATTCCTGTGTCGATGACTTGAAGTTCTTCCCTTTGTTTTTCTGTAGCTTACCTTCTCTGCTCTGCTACAAGCCTCCTGAGAAGTGTCTACTGTGGACTCTTACGTGTCACATGGGATGGCCACAGTTCACAGCAAGGTACACACACAGAAGAGGAGAATGTTCTATCCACGCCCTCTCGGCCACACCCCTTGGCCTGCTCTGATATCCACAGACCTTGTTCTCTTATTTCTAAATACGGTGCTATAGCAGTGGTGAAGGGAAGTCAGCACTGTCTACGCCACAGCACACGGGCGGTCTCCCAGAAGCACCCCACTACAAGACTCATCACTGCCTGACTTCACAGCCAGGTCGCCCTGGAGACCCTGGGTCTGTGTCCCTCCTGCTGCAGGCACAGCCTCTCCCTAGACCCGGAACATGGTTTGCTGTGGGACATGTAGTATTACTCTCACTCGTGAGGGTGGTCGGCCACCAACAGCAAGCAGCATGTGTCACTCTGCACACAAACTTCTATTTTTCTCTTTCCTCAGAAGTTACTGAGAACTCAGGATAGGTGCTGAGTAAGCAATTTTGATTTGTGGACTCAGGGAGGGGATGGAGGGTGGACAGGCTGCCTTTGATCCTCCATGAGGTGGACTCCCACATATGTCCCTGCTTGTTCTCAGCTGAGGTGGACTGACACGGAGCTGGCCCCCTGGGCAGTGTTTACTCTCTTGCAGCTTTACATACCACAGCCATGAGGTGTCCCCGAGTCGGAGGGCGGCGGGAGTGCTGGATTTTAGCTCTGTCTCGAGTAGGGTGGGCAAGGAGGCTGTCTTCCTCGACGGTGACCTGAAGAGATGCACTGTGAGTCCCAGGTTTTCTTTAGGACAACTAGCCTGGACTGGGGACTAAGCCCACCCCACCAACTATTTCTGGGCAGGCCACAGGTAGAAGGATTTATGGGCACAGATGCTCCAAGGCTGGCTCAGCATCAGGAAGCTGGAGAGGATGGGCGAGCAGAGAAAGGACTTCAGAGAGAAGACAGGGACAACGGGGCCTTCACAGACGCAGAGAAAGTAGAGCAGGGAGGGCTAGAGGTCCCCCCCATAGCGAGTCACCCCTTGCTTTCTGCCCTAGAGGCTCTTGCCCACAGCAGGCCCCCACCTCATCCAGGATGCGGTTCTTGGCCCTGGTGATGGCAGAGCTCAGGGCGTTGATCCAGGACTCCTTTTCTTCAGGACTCACCGCCAGGAAGATCAGGTTGGGGGCCTATGAGGGTTGTACCAATAAAAAAAGAGAGATGATAACCTCATCCCTCACACCCAGCTCCTGGAAAGAGAGGCTCTGCATCTGGAATCATGAACGACTGAAGAAAACCCTGAGTCTGTGCCTGCAGAATGCACAGGTTGTTTTAGACATGATCAGGGAAGAGCTAAGAGTCACACTGGATTTGAACTTGACACTGCAGACAATTAGGGGAGCTGTAACAAAGCTTAGATATTAGAGATCTTTAAATGTCTCAAGACACAGAGTGTGACAAGCATGGTTTCCTTGGGTTCCCCTTGAACTTCACCCACCCACCAGGGCACAAGGACCAATGGTTTTTCTTTAAAGAGAATGTATGTGTATGCACAGTAGGGGTGTGTGCGTGTGTGTGCCCTCGTGTGTGTGCCAGTGTGCGTGCGCGCGCGTGCGTGCATGCGTGTATGCGTGTGTGTGTGTGTGTGTGTGTGTGTGTGTGTGTGTGTGTGTGTGTGAAGGGGGAAAAGGAAGGGGCAGGGAGAGAGCTATCTTTATGGCTGGCCTGACTGGAGGGAAGGGAATAGACAGAATATTCCCCAGTTAGATAATAAAAGCCAGAGGGAGATCAATTCTGGGGGCCTTGCAGCCAAGGCTGCAGCAAGGAGAGCCTGCAGGGACTCTTCCCTGCCTAGCCTGCCAGGCCACTGGCCTACCGTGGTGCCTGGCTGCTTGCATCGGGCCAGCGTGAACTTGCTGTGGTTTTTCTTGCTTCTGCTCTTGGATTTCCGGAGTTCTTCACACCTCTCATAATCGCTCAGGTCAAACACCTCTTGGATATTTTTCTCGTCTTTTACCTGGGGGAGGTTTGGGGTGTAACAAGGATAAAATTACTCTGCTTCCGCTTCTGAAGAAAGGGAAAGATGGCAGAAGGAAGCTATCTCCCCTCCCCCCAGGTGTCTATCTGGGGAGGGGTCTAAGAACCAAAGTCTTTGTGTGGGATTCTGTTTAACCCCCTTGCCCTACAAGCTACCCTTCCAGCGCTCCCTCTACCCATGACCCTCACTGTTTCTGAAGGACACAGTTTTACAAGTCCTTAAAGGGACATGGTGATAGGTTGAGCCAAACATCCCAAGTAAGGAAGACGCAAGTGGCAGCCGACATCTGGAAGTGACAAAGGGCTGCTTCTGGTCTCAGGGAATATTATGGCTTACAAGAGTGTTCTTCCCACCTTGTCCCTCTTCTAAAGGAGGACTGTATAGGAGACTTTTCCTGATCAGCAGGCCGGCCACCCTCTTTTTGCTTGGTTGGGAATGGTCGCGTCTGCCGGGAGGAAGCCGAAACTGAGCAAACATGTCTCTAAGTAGCCCCGTGTCTCCCTTGGTAGACCTCTACCAGCCGGTAGCTCATCTGCCCATCCTCTCCATTTGCTGACCACACGTGCTGTGGGACAAAGGGCATATTCATCTGTCTCCGTTTGTCTGGCAAGGCCTGGCTCTCTGGGGTTCTTCCCATGCTAGAGCTCCCGGGCTTTTGGCTGGGAAGTGACCAGAGGCCTTAAACATTATGATGGACACGGGATAAGGTGCCACGAGGAACATTCCAGAACAATTCATAGGAACCAAGGCTGGGATGTGGGGACCTCCTCTCTGGCTCTTTCCCCAAAGAGCCTATCAGCAGAGACCAGAAGGCTTGGAGAGGAAAGAGCTGGGTGTGTGCAGCAGGGGAAAGACACACTTGTTCTGCTTTCCTGAGGGAAGGGAGGGAGGCAGCTCCCCCTGCTTGGACACGGCTGATAAGGCACTGTGGGAGCAGGAGGCTGGCAGAGGTGAGGAAGGGCAAGGGCAGGAGACTGGGTGGGGCGGGCAGCAGAAGTAAATGCCAGCGCCCACAAAAGACGGCCAGCCTTGTTCTCTGCTGTGCTCTCTCTTCCTCACACCAGATTCCCGAAGCCTCATTTATGACTGCGGCTCCGAAAATCACCCCTCCTTCTCGGGGTTCACATACATACAAAGCATCACTCTCAACCTAGCTTCCTCTCCCAGGAAGTCACCCCGAGGTACAGATCTGTTCCTACATCTGGCCCTTGACCAGAAGACACCCCAGCCCTCTTAAAGGGAGCCCTTGGAGAGTAGGGAATGATCCTCTAGAGGAGGAAGTTGTGGGAGACCTTGCTTTCCCAAGAAAGACTGACAGAACTGTGGAATGGGCAGGGACGTTTTCTTCTTTGCATCAGCATGTGAATTGCAAATGTACCATGCTTTTGGTTTTAACGTATTAAACAGTCTAGTGGTTTGCTGCAGCTTTTGTTTGTAGGCAGAATAAACGGTGTCTTTTAGCCCTTAGCCCAGGCCCACTGGACCCCGGAGTTGGTTCTGAAGAAGGTCCCTCTTTTCCAATGCCCTCCCCAGCAGGGGGCATCTGGGCCCAGGACGAGTCAGATGCTCCTGACTCAGAGGACAGCAGCCACTCTAGGCAGAGGTCATCCTGTCATCTCTCTGCTCTGTAGTTCTTCCTCAACAGACAGGCTCATATGCCAATTGACCAAGCACTTATGTCCCCAGGCTCTGCCTTTTGGACAAATACAAGCCAAAAAAGAAAAAAAAAAAAAAAAGGCCTTGCTGAGTTTCCTTAGCTTTCACTGTCCTCGGGTGTCCCTCCGACGCGTAGGGAGCCCTTCCTGATTGCTCACTGCGTTTCCTGCCATTATGAAGTTCAGGGAGGACAGGGACACACAGTGACACTTGCTGCGGTTTTTTTAAACAGACAAAACAAAAGCGGAAAGCAAGAAAACTGTGGCGAGAGCTCTCTGTAGGATCTGGGACTAGGCAGCAGTGACCCTCCAAAGTAGTCTCCTTCACGCCCTCCCTCAGCTGGCCCTAGCTGGCGTTAAGTGTAGGTCCCTTCAAGAGGGACCTCGCTCACTGCTATCCAGCTCTCTCTACTTGTCTCAGTAGACAGTTTTCAGATGAGTACTTCTCTTGGGCTGCAAGTGTGTCTGCTTCAACACCATAAAAGGATTTATTTACCCGAACAGAACGGCAGAATGCAAGTGTCTAGTGCTGAAAGCAGAAGGGGCTAGAACTCGGGGAGGACTTCCCAGCCCGTTCTGGGCGAGGGAACACAGTCAAGGAGGGAGTGCCAGTCGAAGGGACACAGTCTACCATGTTCTGTAAAAGTCACAGGGAGGCGAGTTGGGCTTCTCAGCATTCCTGTTACGGATTCAAGAGTTACCTGGCTTTAGAGTCTGACGAGGGTGGGCTATGGCTTCACGCTCAACTACAGTGAAGGCCACGCGCACGCACACGCACAGACGCTCGCAGTCCTAACTCTATTCCCCACTCTACAAATAAAGGTGGGCAGAACTTGAGTTTCTTGTTTGGTTTTTGTTTTCTCTTTAAGTGGAGTGGAGGGTGAGGAAGAGGCCTGCTTCAGGGCGCTGGCTCCTACAAAAGTCTGGCATTCACAGCTCGCTACCCTACCTCAGGTCCCAGGGACTGATTCCAGTTTGTATCTTAGGGTGACTTGCCACTCAGGAGACCTACATATGCCCCTTGCTATAGACAGGAACGGAAGGGGTGGTGGGCTGGGGGTAAAGGCAGGAAGGGACGAGGGACAAGATGACCAGAGTGTTTCAGCAGAAAAAGTAAAACAAACAAACAAAACACCCCATATTTCAGAGGGCCAGAATAGGGGAAGAGGCAGCGGACGTTCAGAACTTCTGAGAAAGGCGTCCGCACAGGCACATTTAATAAGTAAACTCCTAATTCCCACTCAGGTAAAGTCACTCGGGGTGACTTTTCTCTGCAGATACAGGACTTTTGCGACCCCTGAACTTGCAGCGAGGGAGGCGGGGCAAGCCGGAGAAGCAGCCGCCGTGGGGACCGGTCGGGACGGCTGGGGCAAGGGCGCCTACCTCCTTCTCGGAGACGTAGAGCTGGTCGCCTTTCAGCACCACATAGCGGTTTTTCCAAATCTCTCTGAAAATCCCCTTCCCGCAGAATTTCCGGACCCAGCCGACCTTCTCGGGCGCCGCAGAGTGATGGTTTCCATCCGGAGGCCCCTGCCCGGGGCGAGACGCGGAGCGGCGGCTCAGGCGGGTCCCCGCGCCCTCCCCGCCCCCGCCCGGCCCCGGCCCCATTGTCCGCGCGCCGCGCACTCACCCGCTTGCCGGAGCCGCTCTTCTTCATGGCGGGATCGGGCGGCCGCGCCCGCTGCTCGCTCGCCGGCTCGCGCTACCCGCAGGCCGGGCCCTCGCCGCCCCCGCCGCCCATGCCCGCCCCCGCCGCACGGGCCCCGGCCGCCGCCGCTGACGTCGCGGGCTCCGAATGAAGGGCGGACCGTGGCGCCGCCGCGCGCTCCCCGCCCCCCGCCTTTGTTTCCGACCCGGCACCCGGCGGAGGCGCGAGCGGATAACCGGGAGGCGCGGCGATGGGGGCGGGCCCGAGGCGGGGCGAGCCGGATGGAGCGGAGCGGAGGCGCCGGGGGAGACCGGCCGCCTCGGACCCGCAGACTCGGGCTAGCGGGGCTCCGGGAGGTTCCCGTCTCGACCTCCTCCGCGGCGGCCGTGAGCGCCCCGCGAGGCCTGCGGGAAACACGCGTGCAGCGGCCGGGAGGCCCGCGAGCCTTCTGAGCCCCGAGTTTGTGACGGGGCCGGGCGGGAGCCCAAGTTTGAGGACAGCTTCCCTCATCACTCCGCGGTCTCCGTTCCCCTCCCGGGCAAAGGGAGGAGGATGCTGACCCATGAAAGCCCGCGAGGACCCAAGGGTTGTCTTCCAGGGCCAGTTACTACCAATAAGCTAATAAACCTATTACCTGGTGTATGGTAGACACAACAACCACGAAGTGAGTCAAGATCCCTGCCACAGAGCAGGGGACATAGTCTTTTTCCAGAAACGTTCAAGATGAAGTGTTGGTAAGTTTGTGTTTGGAGGCGTGGAGGTTGTTTGGGTTTTTTTTTGGAATCTGTCAAGAAAGAACCTCAGACCCACCTCCCTTCCCAATATGTAAGATTCTCTTTCCCAGCCATAGGAATTGATTTCTCTTTCAGGTGGATGCAGAAATTTATCCTTTCAAAATACTCTTATCTTGGCACTTAAAAATGTTGAGTACCATTCTGTAAGGCATATAGAATGGGAACATTATCCCTTGGGACATGATCAGTCGGGCACGGCGAACCAAATGACGTGTTCAAATTGACAGGCTACCGTTACAGGAATTAGAATATGTTTTCTGACCCCACTCCACCTTTTAGACTTTGTACACAGAGCGCACTTACCAAACTATCCCCTTCCCATCTCCCCGACTCAGTACTGTCCTCTTTAAAAGGTGATGGAAAAAAAAAAGCGAGAAGATGCAGGCTATATGAGGAAGCAAAATGTACCAGTGTGAAGACATAGCTGAGGAAATTAGCCTACAGGAGCTTTTGGGAACTTGTTGGCTGGGGCATAGAAGAATGGTTTGGGTTGATTTTTTTTTTTTTTTTTGACAAGGTCTTATACAGCCTGGGCTGCTTTCAGTCTTACATAGCTAAGGCTGGTCTTGATCTGCTAATCCTCCTGTCTCCACTAATTTACATAGTTTAAAATGGGCTGGGAGTGTGGCTCAGTGGTAGATCTCTTTGCCTAGCATTCAGGAGGGGGTCTAGCTCAATTGTCAGCACTGCAAGGAGTAAATAGAGTGATAAGTTGTGGCTCAGGGGGCAGAAGAGATTCATGGCTTTGCCTCATTGCCCTCTCCCAGGAACTTTCACTTAGTCTACAGATACTAGCGTCTCCCTGGGCGCTCTGCACAGCATCAGGCAGTAGCTAGTGCTCTGTGAAACATCAGGCAGAGGGACCCATAAAAAATAACCAAAGTAATTTTCAGATCCTAGAGCAGATGCATGTGGGCTGCAGAGCCTTTGCTGCCTGTCTGTGTCTTAAGATGTTACATAAAGCTCTGGCTGGCCCCCATCCCCCCAGCTCCCTCCCTCCCAGGAACCGGAACTATTAGGAAGCTCATCCTCACCTTTGCTTCTTTGTGTTGGCACGGGACGGTCACATATGCCAGCCTCTCTCCAGTGTGCTCTAAAGCAGATTTCTCTCACCAGGTGAACCTCATGGCACCTGAATTTGGATCTAAGTGGCACTGTTTTCAGAGACCAGTGCTTAGGTGAGAAATTAGAATAAGCACTTCTGATTTCCTTTACATATTTTTACAGCACTCAGGAAGCTTGACACACACACACACACACACACACACACACACACACACACACACACACCAAACACAAAAATAACTCGAGCCAATTTCTCTAGGGAGATAAGGTCCTGGGAGGATTCCTGAGCGTGTCCACCTGTAAGACAGCACCACCCATAGCTGAACTCTGCAGTTGCACATTTTATAAGTAGCTTCACTTAGGAGGAAAACGCAGAAACTATCAAAGGTAACATCTTGTGAATAGCACCTTGCAAGTTTCCTGGGAAGAAATATCTGAGTTGTCACTTAAAAACAAATATTCTTGACTTTAAAATCCTACTTTTTTTTTTATAGGATTGATATTTTGATCAGGGTATTTTAATTTATGGGACAGAAGGCTATTAAGAACATGTTCTTTTGTTTTGTTTTGTTTTGTTTTTTTGAGACAAGGTTTCTCTGTATTGTTTTAGGAGCCTGTCCTGAAACTCACTCGGTAGACCAGGCTGTCCTCGAACTCACAGAGATCCACCTGCCTCTGCCTCCTGAGTGCTGGGATTAAAGACATGCACCACCAATGCCCAGTTAAAAGCATATGTTCTTCATTAAAATGTTTTCAATAAGAAAAAAGAAGTAGAAACAACAGAATTAGTTCTGTAAATACTAAACTATGTCTTTTTTAACCATTACCATCAGGTTAGGAAGACCCTAATTATTTTCACTTTAGGGATGAAGAAACTGAGCCTGCCATAAAAAGACCAATATCCCCAACACTGGTCACATAAAAATGACAAATCTGAATGATGCTAAAGAATACTTATCAGCATGTAAGTTAAGGGGCTGGAGGGATGGTATAGCAGTTAAAAGTGTTTGCTGCTCTTGCAGAGGACCTGAGTTCAGTTCCCAGCACCCAATGGGCAGGCTATGACTCCAGCTCCAGGAGATTAGACACCCTATTCTGACCTAAAGGGATTTCCACATCTTTGTGTACTCGTGTGTGCATGCATGCACACGCATGCATGCACGCACGCACGCACACCCGCACACACACACACACACAGAGGAACAGGAACACATGAGAACACCTATACAATTTTTTTTTTTTGGTTTTACGAGACAGGGTTTCTCTGTATTATTTTGAAGGCTGTTGGTCCAGCCTAGCATCGAACTCACAGAGATCCGCCTGCCTCTGCCTCCCGAGTGCTGGGATTAAAGGCGTGTGCCACCAACGCCCGGCAAGAACACCTATACAATCTTAAATCTTTAAAAGCACACTCTACAGAGAACCAGGCAGTGGCAGTTTTTCTCCAGTTATGTGAGGACACAGTAATTTCCTGCCATTATTCCTTCCATCACTTTTTACAACTTTCAGGAAAGTTTTCAGTTGCTCTGGCATAATTAGACATGTTCTGGGTACAGGCATGCTCTCTTTGTATGGTATAACACCATCTCAAGTCTCACCTTATGGATCCCCATGAATGAGCCTGAGAGAAGTCAAACAAAGCCACCCATCTGTCTGCAGACTGAATTCTAATTGCAACCCTACATGGGTTCTCAACGCACAGCAAATGGCTCTCTAAAGAAGGGTGCAGGATGAGGGTGAACAGGAGATGAGGGGCTGTGTCCTGGAACGCCTCTGGGGGCGGAAAAGGAACGAAGAAAGAACAGACACAAACACAGGTACAGAAAAGCTGAGGCCGGGTGGTCTGTGTGCCCTCTGATGAAGCTTCAGTACTGCCATAGCAACCGAAGCCTCAGGGCACTGAAGTACTGCAGGTGTGTGTGTGTGTGTGTGTGTGTGTGTGTGTGTGTGTCGTAGGGGCTATCTCAGGCTAGTCTCGGTAGGTGTGACTATAGGGGGCAGTCTCAGGCTTCAGTTATACGGGAGGAAGAAGCTGCAGTTGGTAGTTTTTTAGTGGTTAATCTTGCTAGAACATTCCTACTTGGACAGAGGAAGGACTTGCCTTTCTGAACCTGATCTGAGGGAAAGGCTTTGCCAACTTCCCAGAGGTCTGATTCCATGGTCCTTACCATGGCTGGCTCCTGTCACTCAGGCCATCAAGAGAAGACATAAGGGATGGTACCATGTACGGCACATGGCTTTCTGACTGCCTTATTTTGACAACGCATTTCTCAAGAACAATCCCAACAAAGCCCATCAAACAGTAAAGTGACTGTGCTGTCAAATACACAAAGGATATGTTTATTTGGTACAGAATCACAAGTGGGATGGGTTCATCATCGGCAGTTCCGGTGTCTGTGCCAGCAGTTCAGGAATTAGGGTTACCTGGTGCAAGTTACAACAAACACAAGAGCCTTCCTGAGGCCCCCGGTCAGCAGGGAAGGGCTGAGGCCGGGGCGAGATGGAGGCTGCACTATTCTCGGCGTTCTCCATTGCCATCTCATCTTCTGCTTGCTGACCTCAAGGTGGCCTGTGAGCTCTCCCTGCTGCGGCTGTGCAGTCCAGAAGCCAGGACTTCCTCTAGGAAACTGACAAGGAGATTCTAGGTTATGTAGCAGAAAAGCAAAACCCTCACCAAAAAAGAGCATCACTCCCATGGCACTGAACAGAGCCTGAGAAGTTCTGATACTGTGTGCCGAGTATGCTGATAAAACATTCAGGCCTGGAAGACTGACAACAAGTTTTCTTTTGTTTTTGGTTTCTCTGTATAACAAACAGCCTTGGCTGTCCTGGAATTCATTCTGTAGACGAGGCTGCCCTCAAACTCAAAGAGATCCACCTGCCTCTGCTTCGAGAGTGCTGGAATTAAAGGCGTGGACCACCAATGTTGGGGTAAAATTTTCCCATTGTTTTGGACAGGACTTTGTGACAGAGCTCTAGCTGACTTGGAGCTCACTATGTAACCCAGGCTGGGTTCATATAACCCTTTTCTCTCAGCCTTCTAAGTGACTGACTTGGAGCTCACTATGTAACCCAGGCTGGGTTCATATAGTCCTTTTCTCTCAGCCTTCTAAGTGACTGACTTGGAGCTCACTATGTAACCCAGGCTGGGTTCATATAACCCTTTTCTCTCAGCCTTCTAAGTGGTGAGATTTTAAGTGTAGCTGTCATGTCTCACATGTGCCACAGTGTTTGT